ATGGTCACACTTGCCAACGAGCTGCAATCTGCAAAGGCTGATGGACCAATCTCGGTCACTGAGTCAGGGATGGTCACACTTGACAACGATCTGCAACCTGCAAAGGCTTCGTCCTCAATCTGGGTCACTGAGTCCGACATGGTCACACTTGCCAACGAGCTGCATCCTGCAAAGGCTCCATTCCAAATCCGGGTGACGGAGTCAGGAATGATCACACTTGCCAAAGTTCTGCAATTTTCGAATGCTCCTGGATTGATTTCAGTTGCACTGCTTGGGATTCGAACTACAAATAGACACTCCAAGTCAATCTCCTGGCCACACTGGGCAAATTCATCTTTGTCGGAGCATGTCACGGTGTTTTGTCTAAAAATTGCAGTCACTTGTGATTCTGGAGAAAGTCCTGCATCTGCAGCCGTCTCGTTGTTCGTCAGCAATCTACTTGCCCCCACAACGATGTCCACCAGGGTCGTTTCACGTGTGAGCTCTTCGTCCCAAAGCTGGCAATCCTTGATCCGCTCCTTGAGTTCCTGACCAGTGATGTCTGGCATGATGTCAAGAACAATCGCTTCGCCATTCAGCTGCCGAAATGACACCCTCATTGCCATGGCAAAACATGCAAAAACGATATGTTCAATGGTCGAAGATCGCAATGTTCGGAGATTACTCTCTGTACTTCTCTTCATTGCTGGGATGTTCGGTGAGATGCAAAAGTACATCCTTCCTGGGACACCTGTCGTCTCATCTCTTTCTAAATAAGTTTGTTTACTTGTCATGAGCGATCTATTGTGGGGAAGAACTCCTGTGGTCCGTAGAAAAAAGCTGCAAAGCACCTCAACAACATCTCAAAAACTCCATATATATATATATATGTATGCATCATATATGCCAAAAAACACTGATCCCCCCCCAAACAGCACTCGCAAAACATCACAAGACTGTGCTGTTGCCTCTACGCGCCGTCCCACCGCAGATCCGACTCCCAACATCCGCCCATCCGCCCAACTTGCGCCCCGACGGCCTCCGGGAAGTCCGTCCAAGCCTGGAGCGAGCGGGTTGGAACCGCTCAGCTCAGCAGGTTTCGAGTCCAACAGGACCGGTTTCGATGGATTCGCTCAGCATCGATCACCTGTACTGTACCCTCCAACGATCATGGTGGATAAACCATGGCCTCCTGGAACAGGGTTTTTCCACCAACAGGGGATTGTCCACTTCCATGTTTTGTTTCAGTGTATAAAAATGCTGATCCATGCATCTTTTTAGTTACAGGTGAAACCAGCTGTTACGGATTGCTGGGACAAAACAAATGTTTTTCATGGTCAGTTTTTCGGGGTCGAAGCTGCTCATCAGGTTCGTCCGTGAAAAGACTTCGTTCGTCGTCTCAATGTCTCATCTCTCGAACACCGAGATCCACGACGGGCTGGGAGAGACCACCCATATCGATCGACAGGCAACCGGAAATCGAACACAGGGTAAAGCAGAAATCGACCAGCCAAGACGGCGTTGGCGTGTTCTGATGTTAATACATCCCAACAAATCAGCAGTGGCATGCTGAACCATGATCGGAGCAGATCCATGATCGGTTCGGTCGTGGTGCCACCTGATGGTGGGGCTCATCAGGTATTCAATTCAATACTGTATTCAATGTATCTTCTCGCTCTGGCTTTCTGATGTGGTCCACCCAGAAAGCACGGTTCATGAAGAACACTCCTGCAACATCTTGCAGCACCTGAGACATTGGTGATAGGCAATTCACGGTGTCAAAAAAAAGAGTTGCCGATCATCCAATTGTCTTGCCTACCCATTCACGGTACGTATACGTTGACCTCGATTCAAGCTCCACCTCGATTCACTTCCTGCGAAGATATCTTCTTCATTCTCGTTCTGTTAGATGCAGTACATGAATAAAAACCTGCATGAACATGATGTCCAATAGTACCCCGCTGAAAACTAACATGGACCCTGAAAACCACTGGTTTGTAGAGGAATGCGCACTCTTGTACCGGGGTACCATTCGACCCGGGTCCATATTGGTTAGCACCTCTGTAGGTCGACTGCTCCGGTGTCGTTCCAAAACGAAACAACGACACCACGAACGGTCCGCGCCAGTTGATCTCGCTCCAGGCGATGCCAAGCGGAGGAGGAAAAGAGGAATGGGTTCAAATCCTGAGGGCCGGAGAGAAAACACATGGCAGGAAGAGCGGGTTCAGGTGAAGAACGGTGAATCAGGGAATCTCAGGTGAATCAGTGAATCCTCTTATCGGTACTCAGACTCAAATGTTTACTCCAATGATTTGGGTGTGGGTGTAAAACCTTCTGGGCGGTGGTGAAAACCTTCGGGAAAACTTGGATGAACTATCCCCTTTCCGGCAACTATTTTTGTTCGTCCATGGGTTGGTCAATATGGACTATGATATTGCTTTCTTCACCTTTCCAAATGTCTGTCCATCAATTGTAGCAGGAGTTCTCCCTATAGCAAAGCGCACACACATACTATATATAATCGTCCATATCACCAAAGCAAACGCACATGCTGATGGCTCCAAAGCAGGGTATCCCCAACCTGCCAGGCCACCATTGCCGGCTCCCCTTTTCCTCGTCTTTCGTTTTCTGAACGCGCGCCTGCCTTGGGCGGCGCCATCTTCGCCCCTTGAGGGCCTTCAAAATTACTGTGTCCAGGAAGCGATCGCGCAGGAGGAAGAAAGGCTTTCATGTTTCGAGGAAGTAGATAGAACCTGGAACATGGCATTCTGTTCATTGTCCGGAAGAATGTCAATCTGATGTTGGTCCAATGTATAGGTTGGCCTTTGCGTTTACATCACCGCTCTAAGGACCCTCTCACCTGGTCGAACACAATGGCCCAAACTGGGACCAAAATTATCCCGGCAAGAGACCCCAAACAGTGTGTGTGTGTCAAATGTTGTCTCAAGGGGCACCAATCTCTTCCACTCTATTCTACACTATTCCTGTGCAGACTCCTCCAAGAAAACATGGCGTGTGTTCAGGGACCATGTCCAACGAATCTACCTGACGCACAGGAAGTGAGAGCTGATCACTCTCATGTACCTGCAGCCAACGCACTGACACCACTGATACCGCCGCTGTCTTTTTGGTTTCCATGGTGATTGCTCATGATATTCCCCCAAACCCACTTTCTTGCCGAACTTGCAGCTCGTCTCCGCCGCGTTCTGCAGACAAGTGAACAGATTGTTCAACCATACAGTTGTGCTGACCGCTTCACCTTTCGTTTCCCTCAGCCCTTTCTTCGTGGAACAGAGTTAACTGAAAACCCTATGACTAAGTGTGAGGTCTATAAGCAGAAAGTCTAGAGATCTAGACGCATTGTGGTTTAGAGAGGTGATAATGGTGATGAAGGTGGAGATCGCAGGGGTAGTGAGTGTGACTGTGACTGTGACTGTGAGTGTCATGTGCGAGTGTGCGAGTGTGCGAGTGTGCGAGTGAGTGAGTGAGTGAGTGAGTGAGTGAGTGAGTGAGTGAGTGAGTG